TCCATCCATCCATCCATTCTTCCTTCCTTCTTCCTTCTCCTTTCTTTTTCCTTCCCCTCTTTCCTTCCTTTTCCTTCCTTGCTCTCTTCCCATCTTCCCAACTGACCGTGCAAAGTGGCATTCAGTGATCCGAAAAGTGGACCCTACAATTGCGGGGAAAAGAAGGGAGGGGAGGAGGAGGAGGAGGAGGAGGAGGAGAAGAAGAAGAGGAGGAGGAGGAGGAGGAGGAGGAGGAGGGGGGAGGAGGAGGAAGAGGAAGAAGAGGAAGAGGAGGAGGAGGAGGAGGGGGAAAGGGAAGAAGGAGAAGGAGAAGAGGAGGAGGACAGGTGGTAGAAGAGGAGGAGGAGGAGGAGGAGGAGAAGAAGAAGAAGAAGAGGAGGAGGAGGAGGAGGAGAAGAAGAGGAGGACAGGTGGTAGAAGAGGAGGAGGAGAAGGAGAAGAGGAGGAGGAGGATCCCTGCCACACAGCAGCCTACCCATTAAATTTTAAGCCCAGTGGGGTTATGGTTGGGAGTATGTTCTCCTCGGAAGGAGGCTACAGCAACAGCACCACTCCTCCTCCCGTGGCCATCAGGAAACAATCCAGAGTTGTGTTTTATAAAAAGTACTGAAACGTAACTGCCTACTAACAGCACTGGTCTCTAGGAAGTCCGCACTGAGCCATAGGTTAAGATTGCACAGAGAGTGGCCGTTTATAGCAATGTTCCTACTCACCAAATGGCAATTTCAGCTGCTCTGCATCCAATTACATTTACATTGCAAATAAGAAGGGCATTTTATTGAGGGGGGGGCGTATAGGATGCATCAGCACCATAACATTGGCAATAAACGTACTAAGAAGAGAAGAGAAGAGAAGAGAAGAGAAGAGAAGAGAAGAGAAGAGAAGAGAAGAGAAGAGAAGAGCTGTAGCTTGTGGTTGAACTTTGATGCTCTCTGAACTGGACTGTTATTCTTCCAGATTTTTCATGGCTCAGTTAGTTAACACGGCCAGCGCTGCCCGGAGAGCACCAAGGACTCCATAGTAAGGAGAGTTTATCCAATATAGGCAGTGGAGTGCCAGAAAACATTTCCCACCCATAATTTGCAAAAGCACAGTTTATACTTAAATATTGATGTAATTAAGCCTCAAAAAGAACCTCTAAGGGCATCCTACCAACAACGCTGATAGGAAAAGCCACTCGAATATCAATTGAGAGCAAACCTCGCTCCTTACTAATACTGATGATGTTATCTAGCTGGGTAATGAAATGTCTGCAAGAAAACAACAAAAGCTCAGGGAGCACTGAGGACCTCACAGTTCTCCTCCTCCTCCTCCTCCTCCTCCTCCTCCTCCTCCCCCCCCCCCCCCCCCAAACCCCACTCCCTTCTAACACTGATTAAGTTACCTAGTTGGGTAACGAAATGTCTTCAGGAAAACAACCAAGCTCAGAGAGCACCAAGGATCCCTCAAGTTAAACCTCAGATTCTTAACCTGGTTGTTACAACTTGCTGAACAGCCAAGCTCTGAGAACACCATGGAGCCCACAGTTCAACCCAGAGCAAATATCCTCTACTGTATGTCTTAACACTGTTTGCTTGCGTTGATCGAACCTCAAAATCCAGATCAGGGGTCCCTAAACTTGGCGACTTTAAGACTTGTGGACTTCAACTGCTGGCAGAGGAATTCTGGGAGTTGAAGTCCGCAAGTCTTAAAGCTGCCAAGTTTGGGGAAACTCTGATCTAAATAATCTATTGTGTGACTTTAATTATGACTTTAATTATTGACTTTAATTACGTACCCATCAGTTTGAAAGGCTTGTTGAAGCTCTGTTTGGATGACTGATAGTAAATTTAAATTCAAACATTAAAGCAAGGGGTTTTTAAACTTGGCAACCTTAAGACCTGTGGACTTCAACTCCCAGAATTCTTCAATGCTAGCTGATGAATTTTGTGAGTTGAAGTCCACAAGTCTTAAGATTGCTAGGTTTGGAGACCCCTGTGTTAAAAGATTCACAAATATTTGTCTGAAAGATAATTTCTAAGGTGTATCACTATGGGATATTTGCCCTGGCCTATCTTTGAAATGGTCCATATTGCATTTTTTTCCTCTTCTTTGCACGGCCAGTCTGCTTTCGTTCTCTCTCTTTGAGAAAGTTTTAATATCCACGAAACCCCTTCCTGAAAAAGTGCTTTGCCCTTGATAAAGTGTAGTTTTGGACAGGCAACAGATATTAACTGCAGAGAAGTTTTACTGAGCATAAAAATGCGATTTCCTGCTTATTAGTATGTACATATAGGCAATTAAATATTAATGGATTATCTTGCCTTTTGTTTGCTGTATCCGTTCCAATAGTTTCAGAGCAAGAGGTTTTCTTCTACATATTTTTTTTCTCCCCTCCCTTCCTTTTGCAAATGTTTTGTTGATTTTCTTCGTGAACATTTTAATGGAGTGCATGTTGAGATGCCCTTCGAGGATATTTCTGCAGTGTCAGCCAGAATAAGAATATTAAACATTTGTTGCCTTAATGTGAAGATGTTATTATATTTGGAACCACTTAGTTTAGATGGATTTCGGGAAACTTTTCCTGGACTGAGACAATGAAATAGAATGGAGGCGAACTGAACTGATCCGATCCGAAGGGAACGGTGGAATGAGAGAAGAGAGAATGCAATAGAATGAAATGAAGCAGAATAGAAAGAGAGAAGACGGAAGGGAAGGGAAGGGAAGAGAACAACAGAACAGAACAGAAAGAAGATGGAATGGAATGAAAGGCAAGGGAAGGGAAGAGAACAACAGAACAGAACAGAATAGAGAGAAGATAGGGACGGGAATGGAACAGAACAGAATAGATGAGGGAAGAGAACAGAACAGTGAAAAGATGGAAGGGAAGGGAACAGAATGGAACAGAACAGAAGAGAATGCTAGTTTGGTCTACAGGGAAGGTACCAGGCTAGAAACCTTGGAGTGTGAGTTCTAATCCCGTTCTAATCCCGTTTAAGGTATCAGAGCTGGCTGGGTGACTTTGGGCCAATCACCAGGAGATGGGGAGTTTTAGTCCCAACCTAGGTGTGAAAGCCAGCTTGGTCAATCACCAGGAGACTTGAGAGTTCTAGTTGTTCTGACCCAGGCTTTGTCCAAATTAAGGAAACACGAGCTGAGTCTAAAATCAAACCTTTTTTGATGCGACGCTGGGAATGTCTTGCATTCCCAGCCAAAACTCATTAAGACACAATTCTCTGAGATAAGCTCACGCCTTTCAGGGTTGTCGGAGGCTGCCAAGAAACAGAAGTCCGCTTAATTAGAATAGAAACCGACAGAAGTTCCAGCAAGGACAAACCAGTGTTCGCAGGGCTTCAACGAGGAATCAGAATCTAATGAACTTCTTTGCTTCCTGCAAAGAGCATGTCACCGAGGGCTGACTTTTATCCTTTATGGGGAGGGGCAATTACCTCCCAGCCTTACTCCCGGGTCACCCCTTTTGTTTCAGAGCTGCTCGCCTTCTAGCAGCTCTGCGCACACGCTCACTGGGAAACAGGCTCCCCTGCATCCTCTGCCTTGCTGCTGCCAGACTCCAAAGGCTCCGAAGGCAGCACCCCACTCCCAGATGGTCCTGGCCCCATCCCTGCATCGGATGCAGGACCCTCATCCGAGTCCTCTCCAGACTCCCGGTCTGGTTCCCTTTCATCCTCACTGTCCCAATACCTCTGCCGTCTGCACCGGCTGCCGGTGAACCATAACACTAGTCCCACCTTAGGCCTGAGAGTTGACCTTGAGCCAGTTTCACCCCCACACAGAGCACACCTCACAAGTTTGCGGTTGTTTCGGGGGAAATAGGAGGAGGAAGGAACGTTAGGTAACATTTGCCCACCGTGAGTTAGCTATAAAAACAACGAAGGCAGAGTTAGAAATAAAGAACAGTCCACCGTAGCTACCCGAACCGCTGCGTTTCTAGATCGAAGGCGGTCTTCAACGCAGCCCATTTTTTTTCTCCTTATCAGGTCAGCGTTTAGCCCGCAGGATTAGGGGGTTATCGTGGTTGCTATTTTTAACGCCCTTCATCAATCCATTGATTGATCCTGAACCCAACCATTGTACAAAGACATCGGATGGAAGCAAGTCGCGGTTATACGGAATGACGGATTTTCACGCACCTTTTCCCAGGCTGGCTTGTCTCATGAAGCAGGCCTGGCCTCCCGCCACCCGTAATTCTTGACGTTCAGGAAGCCCAAGGAATAAACGATTTATCTAGCGGATGTTCGCCTCGTCCCTGTTTTTGTCAGCCTGTTGTAACTCCGCAGGGCCCTTTGCCACTCATCCCCGCAGTGCAGGTGCTGCTCCTGCTGCTCAAAACATCCCCCACCTACAAGCCAGCCCAAAACAAAAACACACCTTGTAATTTGGACAGTAATCGCTCGCCCCTTTCTCCTCCTCCATCTCCACTGACTCCCACGCTTAGCTAGAAAAGAGCTTCAGTCGTTTTAACCAGTCTAGGAATGAAAGGCAAATTGCCCAGGACTTTGAGAGCTCCCTTAACCTTGGTGATTTTCCCTTCAGGTCCCTTGATGGATCGCTCAAAACTGTCGAGAGCAGAACTTGGGAAGGAAATAGACAAAACGCTTTTCGCTTCGAGACGTGGATTATTACGGCTGAGTCAGGGGAGGTAATAGGCAGGGCCACCTGGCTGCTCTCTCCCTGATTACTCTTAAGTGGTGTAATCCTTTCTCACTGTGTGCCAAGCAAGGAAAGTTGACAAGAAAGTTGAACTAGAAAGAAGGTAATGCACAGGAAGGAAACATCCTCGACATCCAGCTATTCCTTTAGCGAGGTGTTCAGAGTTTGGTGTTGTTGTTAGTTGCGAAGTTGTGCCCGACCCATCACGACCCCATGGACAAGGTTCCTCCAGGCCTTCCTGTCCTCTACCATCTTCTGGAATCCATTTAAGCTCAGGGACTCCCCCCC